CAAAGAACCAACTTTTTCGGCGCGGACAACGAACTAAAGCGTGCTTATAAAGAAATGGATGATAAGGCTGAGTTGCTGAAACACAACATCGACTGGAAAAGAAATTTTCGGCGGCGTCTGGGAGCGACAATACTAAAGGATAATGATCTCGCGAGAAATCAGTGGTCATGAGAGTCGTGAGTACTAACGCTGATGAACAAGGTTTAGTAAGATCCGTACATTTGAGAATAGCTAGTGGATCAACGTTAGAGAGACCGATAGACAAACTCGTACTATTATTGGAAACTGAAATAGAGTAGACTATAGAGACCGGGACTCCCCGACGAGGAGCCACGATACATTACATTAGTCTTGATTAATTCATTATCGGACACGTAATATACACGGACACCTAGTTAGGTTCATATTATATAACGTTATTCAGAAAATGTTTCACATTTTGTGGAGCCATGTAAGAGCGCCTAAGATAAGTTAGGAGTTAGGGTTACCTGTGTAGTGCCAGGCCTCGCGCGCCCATTTTTGTTGTTGACTGTTCAGAACGTGGTTCACTGTTCAGCAGTTTTGTCAAAGGTTCATCGAGGAAAAAGCTTTTTAACAACCGATGCAGTTAGAAAGGGATTATTATTATTTAAAAATCTTTATACACGGTAACTTTTTAGCAATATATACGTACATATAATTTTATATAAGTAAACATGCAATAGTAAATTAAGAAAAATAAAATGCTGCTTTTCAAAAGGCCGTGTAATTACGCTAAAATTACAATAATATCAATACAATACAGGACAATATACATAATTACACGTCTTATTATTAGCATGACAAAATTACTGGATGCTGATTGGTTGAGAGGAGTAGAATTATTTCATTAATTGTACTGCAGTACAATTAATGATTTTCTCAAAACAAACAAAATGGCGGGAAGGTATTTTAAACACAAATGTGAAGACGAACAAACTAGATGAAAAGACGAACAAAAGCACCAAATTTTGCTTTAACAAAAGAACTAAATGAAAATACGAACAAAAGCACCAAATTTTGGTTGAAAGTGTGGCAGGATTGGGCTTTGGCGAGAGAATATGATGTTGACATTGAGAAGTACGTATCCAATTTTGTCATGCTAATAATAAAAAAGTAGCTAGTAGCAAAATTTCCAAACATCACTCGTACTATTAATCCCTAATTGTACTCGCCATCGCATGATTACCTATACTAATACACATTTAATACGTCATAACCCACTATATCAAATCATTGAATCAAGTTAATTACTTTGTTTCTTTCTGAAAACTCAGTGTGTCTTAAATGTTGACGCCGGCATAACTGAACGACTTTTTCATTGCATTAAGTGTTAATTTATTCGCTGTTAGCCAGTCATGAACATTTTCAAGTTCAGTACTTAATCTCACTTCGATATCACTTGCAGTTTCTCCAGTAACCGATAAATTGGTATCATCAGCATACATAACTGGTTTTGAATTTTTTAAACAATTAGGCAAATCATTTATGTAAATTAAAAATAGGAGGGGACCCAGGTTAGACCCTTGTGGAACACCACACGAAATATGTTTTAAAGATGATGAAATATTATTAACTCTACACGCTTCAGTTCTTCTATGTAAGTAGGAAGAAAACCATGCTAACGCACTATTTTTGATTCCATATAATTCAAGTTTCTTAATAAGGATCTGGTGGTCAACCGTATCAAACGCTTTTTTGAGATCGCGGAGAAGGACCCCGTTAATAAGGCCAGTATCCATGTTTACTAACCAAGAGTTGGTTGTAGAGAGTAAAGAGGATGTAGTTGAATGGCCTTCTCTAAAACTAGACTGACCGCAACGACTGATAATACAGATATTGGGCGATAATTACCACACTCTTGTTTGTTCCCCGATATATAAATAGGTGAAGTTTCCAATCATCCGGAAAAACGCCAGAAAATATATATATATATATATATATATATATATATATATATATATATATATATATATATATATATATATATATATATATATATATATATTATTTTGTCCACTCGTTTTAGAGATTTAAGCTTACTCAAAACAGTTTCAACTTCATCATTAGAAAGCGATTTGAACTCAAAAACAGCACTAACCGACCGCTCAAGATATTCTTCAAATCCTTTATTACTTGGTGAAATCCAGCTGTTGGATAATTCTGTACCAATTTTTTGAAAAGTAATCGTTAAAAGTTTCAGTAATATCATCCTTATTCGTAAATATTTGATCATTTGATTTGACTGAAGTTACATTTGTTGTTTTAGATGATTTACCAATGAGTTGGTTTATATTTCTCCACATTTCTTTAGAGTTGTTTTTCGAATTACTAATTACCTCTTGAAAATAACTAGCTTTCGTATTTTTAATCAATCTATTGACATCCTTCCTAGCTGTTTTGTAGGCCTCATGCAAGCGAGAAGATTTAGTTTTAACTGCTTTCTTCTTCAACGTATCACGATAGTTCATTAACTTAATTTATTATCTCTCCATTTATCCAGGGGGTATTATTTACTTTTAACTTTTTTTAGCCTAATAGGAGCATGTAAATTGGAAACCTCATTGAACCTGTCCTTAAATTGTTTCTAAAGCGCATTTGAATCATCAGTGCTCCAATCACAATTCGAAAGTGCGATAAAAAGATCCCGTTTGAATTCTAATGTTTTTTAATGCTTAAAATTCCTTGATTCTACAATTTTTAATTGGTGACGTTTTGCAAAATGATATCTTTCTGCAGCCATAAATGAGGCTATGGTCACTGACACCCAAATGCAGCACCCTAGAATTAATAATATTTTTTGGCTTAATAGTAAAGAACAAGTCCAACAATGTTTGCGTTTCTTCCGTAATACATGTTGCCTCTGTAATTATCTGCTTAAGTTGAAATAAATTAGCGATATCCAGAAGCCGGTTTGTGATATTGAGTCGATTTACTGCTAAAAGATTGCAGTTTACCGACCAAAATGATTTCCTTGTTCTCGTCGTCTAAGTTTTCAATCAAATTTTCAATAGTATCAAAATTCTGGAGTAAGGTAGTCTATATAAGGATGTTACAATTATCGGTTTTGATTTAATTTTGTTAACTTCAATACAAACCACTTCTAGATGTTCAGGGACCAAGTCACATATTGTCCTATACGGTAACTAAATTTTCCTCCACAGATTGTCCTATATGGTAAGATCACAGATTGTCCTATATGGTAACTAAATTTTCCTCCACATTGCAAGTGATTGCAAAGTGTACAAGGTAGAACAAAGAAATAGTATCATTAATTTTGTCACGTTGAACAACAATGGTTTCTAACATATGTCAACACCAGTGGCGTAGCCAGCCCGACAATTTAGTCCCGGTATTTTGTACCAAAAAGTAAAGATATTAAATCTTTTAATTTTAAAAATATCGTGTTGTCATGGCAACACTTGACGCCACGACGCGAACCTGCGTTCAGTGTTGGCCAGTTACTAATACTTCATGTTAAATGTGAGTCAGATTCAAAATATTGAGTGAAATTATAACTCAAATTTATGAGAAATTTACACCATTTTTTGAGTAAACTAAATCTGTGGTCAAAACATTTAGTAAATTTGAAACTTTACTCCTAAAAATTGAGTAAGTCATTGAGTCGCTGTTGGGGGACTTACATTTTACTTACGTTTTTGAGTCAAAATATTCAGGGTTTCATTGTCATTTCAAAGGATTCATTGTCTACTGAGCCAATGGCCTGCTCTTAGTTGGATTACCCCTTATTAGTGCAAATTTGCTTTGCACTATTGTGATGGGCGAAAATTCAATCGATTGGAAGATTGACCTTGAGATCGTCTCAAATGTCTAGAAGTTTATATTATCAGAATATTTGTCTAGTAACTATGCGAATTAATCAAGTAACTTTTCAGAAATTAATCAAAGTGTCTATATAGAACCAAATAGTATTAAAATGAGACACGACAAATTGTGACAACTGAATGTGAAACATTAATACACGCCAACTCGTGTGATAATTTTGTTCGAAGCAGATTGCGACTACTAAAAATTTAATTCAAGCGTGATAAAGAACTTCTAGAACCCCTGTTAAAAAAATTGTAATTTTCTGATAAATTCACACAAGTAGTTTTAATTTTTTGAAAAATTCCAACCATGTATACGATCACCTTTTAATTACTTCATAACCATGTGCTTATTTCGTACATTACGTGCGTTTGGGTGTCATTATAAATCTTTACCAGAAGATGCACCTGATCGTGTTGCAATGGCTGTTTCTTACTTGTCTTCAGGTGACTCCCGCGACAATGTTGTAATATTGCAGTTTTGAAAAGAAATATTAATTAGCAACTGAAATGTCCGTCGGGCACGACTTTGGTCACGCCCTTTTGGTCCGGCAAAACAACCCCCCCCCCCCAGCCGTAATACTGAAGTTACGGTTCCACTTGTTTTTATCAATTTTGCACTATTCTTGGGATCTCTGAGTTTATACACCCATGCAGTGTGTATAAGAGCAACTTTTGGCTGGTAACAAAAAAATAGTGGATCTTGTATGCGGATTTTTCTGTATCCGAACTGACTGAACAATTCACCTGGTGTGAACCATGCATGATACTAAGTCACCAAATACATATATTTATTTAGTATGATTAGACACTATCCGTAGCACCTAAACCAAACAGTAAACCATGAGTAGATGTTAATACATTCGGTGAATGTGTGTTATGGAATTGTAACCAAAAAATCATTGCCATACGAATAAACGTAAGTTAATAAGTATAAACGCGACCGTGTCAAAGAGTTTAATAATAACAAATGGCTGTTACTAAGGGATAGATCTTGGTTATTGCATGTACTTCTCGTTTATTTCAAGTTGTAAATAGTTTGTTCTGATTCGTTTAAAGCTTGTTTCTGCCAGACTAGCCAGAGGAAGTGTTCGTGGAACTTTGAACAATGCTGCACAAGCATCTTGTATTGCCAAAGTGTTGTCAGCTTCACAGAAATATATGCGTAAACAAGAGGTAAAGTCTGTTTGTTTTTTTTGTGATTTTTAGATGATGCTACTCTGAGTGTATCCACATGCTCTGGGAAAACAGAAAAGTTTGCTTGAGCACGGTGGGGATCGAACCTGCGATCCCCACCACGATCACACAAACTCTTCATGCAGCCTGCCTAGTGTGGATGCATTCAGAATAGGATCATGTCAAATAATTTCACCTGAGTACATACACCAGAATTATTAAATTTCGTAAAGAATGATTCTTCGGCATCATTTATTCATTGATTAGCTGCATGTTACATCAATTGTGATCATATGTAATATTATTACAGGTATATAAAGTAATGGCAAGTGTTCAATTGGCAACTCCAATATTGGGAAATATGAAGCCAGCTCCACATTTAGTGCATCGGCACATGCCAATAACACTTGTTTAACACATCATTGAATACACCCAGCCCTGTTTCGCCACACACTTTATGCATTATCAATAGGTGCATGCACTCCAATGAACCCTAAGACAAAGACTTTTTGCCGTGTTGGATGAAATTTAAATTACAAACAAGCAAAATGCTCTGTCATAAAGTGAGCAATTTAATTGTGTAAAGAATATGTAACTTTTTAACAAAATGGAGAATAGAATTACATAATTGTATAAATTAGTAAATTAATAGTATTGAAAGCGGATATGAGTTTTATTACCCAAAATATCTTTGTAGAATCAAAGTATAAAAGCATAATTGCTTGCTATATTGTTTTCCATGCAGTTTGGCCAGCATCAAAGGACGAGATATAAATTTGTCAAACTTTCTATTTTCCCGTTCTTCGATCTGGGACAATCATAAACGATAACAATTATTTCACAATTCTCAAAATCTGGTTTCATCCTTTCTTTTTGCAAAATGAATACAACTTTCCAAAATGAAAATTATAAACAAATTAAAACATTACTTCCAGTTATTAAAATCAAGTTTCTTACGTTGTTTATTGAATGTTTTTAGAAATTATTCCTTTTTTTCTCAGAATGAATGTAGCTTTGTCAGCTTGCGTGATGTTGAAAGAGCAATGAAAGTTATAATATGGTTTTATTCCAACTCCGAATTGATCAATTGGGTTATTGGAGATGGTGATAATGTCAGAGATCAGGATAATAAAAGTTCTGAAGAATCTAGTGAAGACGAAAGTGATGAAAATGGCGATGAGCAAGTTGAACAAGTGAGTTTCTTGAGATTCTTCCTTCTTCTGCACTACGTGTTTTATTAAACAAGCACAAGTTGTCTAAGGAAAGCGATCAAGAAACCTTTTCCTTTTGATTCGCAACAAAGTTGGCATGTGATGATAGGCCATTAAAAGACTAATATATGGTGAATAAAGTTTGCCTTATTGAGAAGCATTCACCACTTTTTATTTTTACATTTTTTAGCCTTTAAGTCCAACTGTACGCGCTGTAATCCTTGGCATTGGCGTTTGTTATTATGCAAGATTAAATGAAAGAGAAACATACTGCCATTACATTTCCAGATATTTTGACAATTCATGTCCGTTACCTGGAGGTGCGCGCAGGATGCAAAATGAAATTATAAGGTGGGTAATTAGATTTTATGTATATGGGAGGTTTACTGTTTAACAATGTTTGTGCATGTAGATAATAGAGTGGTTTTGAGTGCACTTTGAACATTTATACGTGAGGTTTTAAAATAATATACACTTAATGTCTGCACCCGAGGGAAATAGTTAGTTTTGTTTTCCCGAGAATCTCAATGTTTCCCGAGACGAAGTCGAGGGAAACATTGAGATTCGAGGGAAAACAAAACTAACTATTTGCCGAGGGAAAAGACGTTAAGTGTTTTGTTATATAGCGACGAAACAAATATCAACATTGAACAACATTCATACAACAATATTTGTATTTCATGACAAAAACTCTATAGCGTAAACGAGTTTAAAATTTTAAAAACCTACTTAAATGGTTTCAGCAGCATATCCTGTTGCCTGTTATGTATTTTTCTTCTCTTTTACATTCTTTATTTTAACACAAAGCCACGAAAACAGTAGTTTAAATAGTATAAATTTGTGCCGCCATTTTGTTTATTTATGTACGTAGCCGGTCGGAGCGGGTAACAATTTTTCACTTATTGCCCGGGCGGGATACATTGCATTTATCTAAAGCCACGTGACTACAAATCAGCCAATCACGTTTGGTGTTCACACTAGCTATATAACAACAATAATTATTTTTTTATTTGTGCATGCCTAGTGATATTTTTTGATTTCCTGCGATCTGATTGGCTGCAGCAGCGGGCAGCTTTTTACGATATATTGACCGTCGTCCAAAAGAGTTATTTTTTCGCGAAAAACCGAGGAGTGAAGACAATTTTCAAACTCAAAACACTACCCAAAAAGTTTAAAAATCCACCCTATCGAAACTAAAGACAGTAAAATACAGTGAATTGGCTTCAATGGACTCATAGTGCCAAGCCCGAAATGTACTTTTCTCCGACCAAACTGCGAAAAAAAGAAATATAAACATCGAAAAACACTTGCCAGTGCTACAAGTTTTGATTCAAATGTTCCACATATATTCAGCTTTTCTTCAAAAATATACGTATAAATATAAATAGTACAACGTACAACTTGTCCTTAAACATAAAATGTTAAAAAAACAACCTTAAATGGCAGTTTAAAGGTTTATTCGGGCAAAATTGTTTTTATAAATGTTGTAAAGAACAAATTGTTTTTCGGTAACTAAAATTTGTATTTGTCTGTCAAAAAGCATTTTCAAGCATGTCCATGCTGCAAAACGAATCGGAAAATAAATATTTTTACTTTGTTTACCTTCTGTTTTCTTGTTAAGTAGAAAAGCATCTATTGCAATGAAACTATAACAGCTTTTTATCCAGCTTTAATCGCGTCGTTTTAGCAGTTTGTCAGCCATGCTTGCACTATTAAAAGTAATAAACGCAACTGATCTCAAATGTACTTCGCAACTGGAATTTTATCGGATTTCATTATAACCAGGAACCATTAAATAAAAAAATAAACACGTTATTTACCGTTTAGGTCGGTCCGTACTAAAAAATATTTTCCCTCGGCCTCAGAAGCGTCCCTCGGCCTTCGGCCTCGGGCCGCTTCTGAGACCTCGGGAAAATATTTTTTCAGTACGGACCTCGCAGCCGGTAAATAACATATATATATATTGCACGAGTCCAAAAGACGGTACTTGTTCTTGTAAATGGCGCAAGAGATCTTGATATTACTTATTACTTAATAAGAGAAAATGGTATATGTCTATGTATAATTTTTACTCATGACAAGAGCTTCATATATACTTGTTCATTAGCTTCTGCATGACGTTATTTTTCCTTCGCTGGATGTTTTATACTTCAATGATTCGTTTCGAAGAAACTCCAATTTCTTAAGAATACTTTTTCTCTATATCAATGCCAAGTGAGGAACACGTTCATTTTCATAACGAATTTTCGTATATTTCTGGCGTTATGTATGTTTCGTTAGTCATCGTGTATGTTTGTTATCTCGATTGTTGGCTAACTCTTATAATTCTGACAACGTCGTTTACACATTTATACACTTCATATTTTTTTAACTGGTAAACTTTTTTTCAGATGTCAACGTGGATTTTTGAAGGACATACAACTGGGTCGAAACATTGCCAGAAATACTGCTTTAAGTGAGAATGTCTTCATGATGGCAATCTGTACCGAGTTACGCATCCCGTTGTTTGTTGTTGGTAAACCAGGCAGTTCCAAGTCTTTGGCAAAAGATGTTATATCGACCAACATGAAAGCTGGTAACTCACAAAGTGAATTGTTCAAGAACTTAAAACAGGTACGCAAGTGATTTGCATTGAAAGATTCAAATTCAATATGTTTTCAGGAAACTGTCTGCACTTCTCCATCCATCCATCAATTTTATTTTTTTAGAAACAAATGAATAGACAGTCCGACGCTTTTCAAAGAATAGATAGTCTGACGTTTTTTCAGAGCTCGCGCTCATACCATAAACGATGGACCTTACAGGCCAAAGAAAAATTAATGTCGTTTTTAAGTGCACAAAAATTGTAGACAATATTTAACGGTTGAATTAAACAACGAGCAGCAAAATTTATTACAAACAAATATACTTTTAGGTCAAGTGTTATTTTAAAACAAGACTTTATGTACTATTTAAAACATAAGCAGCAGTGTCTTATCTGATATAAAGATACGATGCGAAGCCGAATATCTTTAGGTCTGATAAAACACGCACTATATTACGATTGTTTTAAATTGCTACAAAAACGATTGATTTAGTATTACTAAGTTCATTGGCGAAGTAATTTTTTAAAAATACGTCGTTCAAGTCGAGAAAATCATATTTAAAATTTATGTAAATCAAGAGAAATCTCTATCACATATGAAGATACGACACGCTTATACATGATATTTCTTTGTGTTTTCCTCCTGAATTATTAATGAGTTTTTCAATAAGTAGTCAAAAATATTCCCTATATGCATGCATGCATATTTTTATATTTAACAAATATAAAACATTTTCCGTGTTGATATACAGTTATATCAACACGAGTGGAAATTGGGAAAACGAGAAATTGTGTGGAAACACGACGCCCGAAGGGCGGAGTGTTTTCACACAATTTCGAGTCTTCCCGATTTCCGCGAGTGTTGATATTTAACAATTATTCGCCAAAGGCGAGGTGATTATCGGGGAATATTCGCCAAGACGAAGTCGAGGTGAATATTCCCCGATAATCACCGAGCCTGTGGCGAATAATTGATTTAGTATTTTTACACAAGTCTTTTGTGTTTTTTGGGACTGAATTTATTTTAATTTCGCTTATTTCTTTATCAATAATTTCCAAAAACGGCTATAGCCGCCATTTGGAAAATTTCGGTTTTATTATATTCACCTGTATAGGTGAATATAACAGCTTAATACGTCAAATATGACCAATCAACTTGTAGGATTTGTTATGTTCACTTGTGCAAAAATACTAAAACTGTATATTGATTCGGAAAAATGTTTCATATAATTATAGTTTTATAATAAATATTTTATAGTGAATTTATAATGTTTTATAATAAATGTTTTACAATATAGCACAAAGAAATATAAAGAAAGAATTTTTCCGACGTTTCCGTGTTGACATTGAGTTATATCAACACGGCTCTTAGCCAATCAGCGTTCAGAATATACAAATGTTATATTATAAATTGTATTATAATATAGCATTTGTAAATTCTGAACGCTGATTGGCTAAGAGCCGTGTTGATATAACTCAATGTCAACACGGAAACGTCGGAAAATTTCTTTCTTTATGTTTCTTTGTGCTATATTATAAAACAAATATAAAACATTTTTCCGTATTGATATATAGTTATATCAACACTCGTGGAAATTGGGAAAACTCGAAATTGTGTGAAAACACTCCGCCCTTCGGGCGTCGTGTTTCCACACAATTTCTCGTTTTCCCAATTTCCACTCGTGTTGATATAACTGTATATCAACACGGAAAATGTTTTATATTTGTTAAATATAAATACAGTACAGTATAAATAGCATGTATTCCAAGTGACCTCACAAGTGTAGTTTCTCCAGATATTCCCACAATTCTTGCAGGTTTAACAGTAGAATATAGTTAATTTGCATTCATTTGAAAATCAATTCCAGATTGTTTGTGCTGTAGATAAAAACTGCAATCTACGCTATTTAAATATATATTGTGACAAATCATTAATACTTCATGATGGACACCACAAAAGAAATCTTGACTGTGAAAGAGTTTGTATATCGGCTACGCAATCATGCTGATTTACATCGATTTTAAGTTCATTTTTCTCACCAAATATTATTCATTTATTTTAAATTGCTGTAGAATACGAATGTTCTCATCAAGATGTTTCACAAGCCATTTACAACATTTGCGTCTGTGTTGTATCGGATATACAAACGTGAGGCGAAGGCGCGGGTTTGTATGTCCGATACAACACGGCCGCTCATGTTGTAAATAGTACGTAAAACTCTATATCGCTGTTCATATGGCTTGATTGAATAACTTTCGGAATAAGTATGATTATGCTTTAATTTGGTTTGATAGATCCACATGCAATCGTACCAGTGTAGCCCATTATCTACCCCCGAAGGCATCGTGTCAACCTTCAGTCAGTGTGCTAAACTTCAAAAAGACAAGGACCTGAAAAAGTTTGTGTCTGTGGTAGTATTGGATGAGATTGGGTTAGCTGAAGATTCTCCCCTCATGCCTTTAAAAACACTTCATCCCCTGTTGGAAGATGGCACAGCTACTACTGAAGAATCAGGAAAAACGTCCGATCATCACCGTGTTGGTTTTATTGGTTTATCAAATTGGGCGTTGGATCCCGCTAAAATGAACAGAGGCATCATGTTGAGTAGAGGAGTACCAAGTGAAAACGAACTGCGTGATAGTGCAAGGTTTGAGGCGATTATTAATTTAATATTTAAAATTGAAGTCTAAAAATGCATGAACACTGCAGTAAGTGTCCGATTACATCAAGCATTACATGGAGCAAGAAGACCCGCTTAACCACTGTAAGTGAATTACTTCAGCCCGGTTAGCAACGTAACAACTAAAAATGCTCAACAGTTGAACTATTGCAAGGT